TTTTTCACAATCAGCTTTGATAATACAATGGGAAGAATAAGGACAAAAGCTTAGAAAGAAACTGTTATCGCTAATTAGCATATAAAAACTACCACTTAAACTAATCTTTAGAAGTTTTCATAAACCTCTGAATGTTAGGTAACATATCTAAGCACTTTGAAACATGTTAATACCTTGATAGCAAACTGTGCAAACTGTCCTTCCTCTGTGATATCATCAATGGCACAGCGCCTCAGATGAGCTTGAAGATAACTCAGAATTCGTCTCTCTGTAGGAGCTACCAAACTGCATGCAAGGGCCATCAACTGCCAATGTCGAAGATTCACACGGCTGTTTGGATCTATATGAATAGAAAACATAAGTTTCTTAAAGTAACTAGTGTTGTATCTGCCTGTATATTTAAAAATGTATACATATACCATCCTATTCAAACTGCTTCAACTTTTAACAATATGTTTTATAAGTCATTAAAACGAAATTATTTATTATTTGTACAAGAGAAAATTCAACAAAAATTACAAAAACAAAGCTTTAAATTTACCTGGATGATCAGTTGTCTGCTTGATCAACTGAAGAAACAGTTCATTTAAGAGTATTTCTTTTTTCATACAGTTACCAAGTATTAACTGTGACAGCTGTGCTGGATCTGCCTTTCCTTTCCATTCTGTAGTCTCTAAGTCAGGAAAGAACAAGCAGAATAAAATGTTGTACTACTTAATGAAAATATAAAGTATACAAGCACTAACACCCATTGTGAGGTATCTTCTCTACCTTTATTCAATTACTTTTTAAGTCATTAATTTTTTATTTTTGTGTGATAAAAATTATAAAGTTAATCATATATATAACACAGCCATTAATACTCTATTTACTGCATCAAATAAAATAATGTTGTTGTTTTTTATTTCTGCCAGTATATTAACAACCAAATGCTGAGAAGCATCTATCATTTTAAAATAATATATTTAGTTAATTGTAGTCTTCCGCAAAACCATCAACTGTTTTCACACCAGCAAGTCCAATTAAAGTATACAATTCATAAATGAAAGAATTATGTAAATCTTTATTTTAATCTTTTGATATCCTTTAAAGTAAACATCCTTTTTTTTAATCTCAGAAACATCTCAATACCTGGAAAAGGAACTTACCTTCCTCTAAAAGGCCAGAGTAAGCCAAAATAGAAGCAAAAACTCTTGTCGCTGCTACTTCCACTTCTTGGTCCGATATCACTAATAAACTATGTGGTAGTTGTATTTTAGTAAATGCCCAGTAACTATGGCGAAAAGAGTCTGTGTCACCAAATTCCTGGCGAAATTTTTCTAACTTGTTTCGGCTGATTCTGGTACAAAAAATAGTAATTGTTATCAAAGAACAAAATAAAAACTTTATGGAGAGAAGTAATAAATTTTTTTCTCACAAAATTTCATTCCTTCAGATCTGTGTTTCACACTGAAGTCCAATATGATCAATAAATATTTAATGAAACTAATGTTCTTAGATACCTTCGTAAAGTACTTCTGAAGATTCCAATATTTTCACATTGAGGCTTCCTCAACATTCCACTATCTACCAACGTGCGACGGCAATTGATGACATCATGATGTAATTTTTGTCTGTCTTCAAAAGTTAATTTCACCTGCAAGAAATACAAATTTAATATTACTTTTAATTCCTTTGAAATTATGCTATCAAAGGATAAATAACATAATTCATACAAGTTAATCCAGGATTCATATAGACATTATAAAAGAAATTTCTAGGTCCTTTTTTCAAGACCCATGTTTCTTATTTTTAAGGATTCCTGAATAATGCCACTTAATTTTAAACTTCTATTTTACTGGCATTTGTGTCCAACATGCATGCCTGCCAGTAGAACCTTCAACAGTCTCAAGTCTCCATAGGCATAAGATTCACAATGACTAACACAATATGTAATGAAAGGCAGCATGCAGATTGCAACAGTTAGATTTATAGGTATTAAACCAAGTCATGACAAAGATAGCATATGTGATTAAACTTTGTCCCACATGTTTTGCTTAGATATTTCAAATACGTCCAGTAAAAACAAATTAGTGCTTTTAAATCTGTTATCTATACACTATATCCCCTACTTTCACATATGATTAGTAAACCCCTTTTGCCACGTTAACAAGTAACTGAATGATACTTACTCTCTTTCTCCCTGTAGAAGACTTTTGCCATGTTAACAAGTAACTGAATGATACTTACTCTCTTTCTCCCTGTAGAAGACTTTTGCCACGTTAACAAGTAACTGAATGATACTTACTCTCTTTCTCCCTGTAGAAGACTTTTGCCATGTTAACAAGTAACTGAACGATACTTACTCTCTTTCCCCCTGTACTAGACTTTTGCCACGTTAACAAGTAACTGGAAGATACTTAATCTCCTTTCCCCTGTAGTATACTTTTGCCACATTAACCAGTAACTGAATGATACTTACTCTCTTTCTCCCTGTACTAGACTTTTGCCATGTTAACAAGTAACTGGAAGATACTTACTCTCTTTCCCTCTGTAGTAGACTTTTGCCACATTAACCAGTAACTGGAAGATACTTAATCTCCTTCCCCCTGTAGTAGACTTTTGCCACATTAACAAGTAACTGGAAGATACTTAATCTCCTTCCCCCTGTAGTATACTTTTGACACATTAACCAGTAACTGGAAGATACTTAATCTCATTCCCCCTGTAGTAGACTTTTGCCACGTTAACAAGTAACTGGAAGATACTTACTCTCCTTCCTAGTTCATAAGTAGGTTTCAACCAACTGGCATGTGCTGGTGAATAACTAGCAATTAGGTTGGCTACTTCATATTTCTGGGAAGTTTCAAAACTGAAATATTTGTGTGTATCAGGGAGGCTCTTTAACAAACTAATGGAAATCATGTCATCACTTGGGTCCACCATGACTGAGTCAACATCACAGTAGCGGTATGCATTCAAGATATTCTTGTCCTCAGGGCTTACAATTAATATTCCCTCAGCATTCACACCTAACAACAACTGATGGCCTACAGAAAAAAAAAAGCTGTTAAAAACTCTGTAATATGATAAGCATTATGCAAAAATGGAAAAAACTTATTATGTTATTTTTTGTGTTATAAACAACAAAAAAGAACACCAGATCATAGAACTAACAATTATAGATGCAATACCTTTTATTCTGAAGGTATCAAAATTTTTTTTTTCACTACAAGTCATAGCATAAATTACATTAGAATTATGTTTGACTGGTAAAAAATTATGTTTGTCTCCCAAAATTACGTTACACTGCCAAAATGGTAATTTTTTCACTAATTTTGTAAGAAGTCATATGAATACACAGGCAAAAAATTCTCCTTAGAGAAATTTTATAACTAAGATTTTATCTACCCAAGGTTATTTTTAAACATGAAATTATATAAGACTCGAATATTTAAATGATTGTTTTAGAACAACAGAATAACTCTAATTATGTTATAAAAGACCAAAGATGAATTTCATCATTGAAGTGGAATACAAAATTAACTTTCAAAATATTGTGAGTACGCAAAAAAAAAAAGTCATTAAAACCACTGTAAGAAAAAAAGAAGAATTTAGTCATCAACAGTTTGGTCAAGCAAATATGAAGGTCATTTGGCTAAAATGTTGACCCCCCCTTCCTTTTAATACTTCTTCCCTACAGCAATCTTAACCATTTTATCATGTTTAAACTGTATTTATTTGTTATTCATGGCAATAATTAGTAATCAAGCTCACCATATGATAGGTATCCTTTGTAGACCACTCGAAATAGAGCAGTTCCATAGAGAGGATATTGCATAACCACTGACAGATACCAAACTCTAGCTACCAACTCAGACTTTCCACTACCATATACCTATAGAAAAATAAAAAAAAAGATACTGGAAGTTTATATTTGATTGGAATTCTTGGTTGATCAACTCCAGTTTGAGGACACAAAAGAAAATTATATCTAATATTTAAAATTCAAAAACTAACAATTTAAAAATCATTACTTTGATTGCACTTCTTTCAAGGTTTTAAAATTGTAAAATACAAAACAAATCTCATTCCTGATATTATACTGTAAATTCAAAGTCAAGCTGTCTAACAGACATTCTAGTTTCAAAACTACAAATTACTACTGCAAAGTTATAAAAAATTCACAATTTTAAAAATTAATTATTTTAATACCTTTGGTTGCAATTTAAAATTACAATACAGAGTAAAACATTAACATATTTTTTCACTGAACTGTACTTGTACAGTTATACAGCTGATGAGCATTATTTATACATGTATGTATAAGCATGACATATCTTAAAAAATATTGTGTTTTGTTAAATGTTTTAAAAGCATGTCTTTTTAATACATGTGCTATATTTACACATACAAGCACAATACCTTGTGAGCTTCTGATATTTCTCTCATCCAGTCCACTTCCTTTTTAGCCTTACAAATTCGAGGACACAGATAATTTTCCACATCTGAATATCTAAGTTTTTCCCATAACAATTTTCAAAAGTAAACATTTGATGAAATACATTTAGTATTGAAATTTTGCATCATAAAATAAAAACAGAAGGGAAAATATACACAAGAATTATTATCTTACATATGTAAAATAAAGAACACAATAGGACAATTATCAACACATTTTTGTTTTAACAGAAACTATGAGTAACTTTTATAGAAAAGAGAAGATTACATCAGAGCTACTTAGATAAAGTATTTAAGATTTTCTATCCAACAGAAATACCATAAGTATGACTAATAAGAAATAAAATAGGCAATAGTAAACATGTTAAAATTGTTCTTAAGTGCTAATTAACATGTAATTAAGAGCCTAAAAAATACACACATTTTCAGCAAAATGTTACTGCAAGTCAAATCATTGTATCAAAATTTAATGCTAAGCTTTAACATAACATACAAGATATCATTTAACCATCAGCTTGATGATTACATATAAAGTATGTATCATGCAATGACTGTATTTGACTGTAAACATTGCCACAATCATCTGATGTTTTCAGTAGTTCTTCTTAAATACCATAATTTGATGTGTGCTAATTTAACTTTGAAATACCCTGAACATTAGGAATGAACTGTGACTCGTAACACAAACTTACAACTTAACTGAATAACAATGTTGTTATCACAATAACTGAATAACATTGTTGTAGAGGTTCTACAGTATATCATATTCGGTTTCAGTACCTCTTCCTGGAAGTTGCTTGTAAATTAAATACCTCTACAGATTTATCTTTTAATAACAAGAGTCACTCTCAAGACAGATATCTTACATGTGTACTACACTAGTTTTGTCATTGACACCTTAATACCATTTTTTATTGTTTTTGATCAATTATTTTTACACTTTATGGCATCTTTACCACAACAAGTTTGTGTATTTTGCCTTCTACCAACTAGATATAATAGCAAATGCTCTTATAGTATAGTTGAAAATATATTTGTAGGCAATAATAGCAGTATTTGTTAACTCAACCATCTTTAGAGATATTTTTAGTTTTGAAAAAAATCATTTCCTGCTTCAGATATTTATAGTATCATAGCTAATATTCACCTTTCTAGTTTTCCTATCTGCGGTTCACCAACTGCCACTTGGGCTTGAAGACCAGCTAACTGAAGGGCTATTCTCTCAGTAACAGGAAACTCATCTGCCTATACAAATTACAATACAATTTTGACTTACAATTTACCTACAGAAATAAAAATTGACATTTACATAATCTGGTGCTGAGTTAAATAACTGGGAACCTATGATGTGGTTATGTACTGAGAAAGGAACACTGTTAAGTCACTTCTTCATGGAAACAACAGTGTAGGAAACTTAATGGCTTAGGTGGACTATAGGCTGATTAAAATTTGAAGTTTTCACGTGTGAGTGATCAGAGGCTTAGATATCTGAAAACATACATTAAATTCCTTTAGAAATCATGAAAAATCCAATGTGCATAGAGAATCATTCTGTGTAAAAGAAACCAAGAAAGCTCCAGGTCAGTAGTTCACTCAACATGCTGAACAACAAAAGAAACTTAAGTAACCCATTTTACCTTATTTTGATATCAACGTCATGTCTTAACTTTCTTATTACACCTATAACAACTTGCTACACCTGTCCTTCCTCATATTAGAACCATGAACCCCTAATTGTTGGAGAGATTGAATGACTGTGTGTCAAGTTTGTCTTTGAATTATAAGTTTTAAGCAATAAAAAGTAAGTTGTCATAGAAATAAATAATCAATCAAGATAGATTAAGATCAAACTATTAATCCTGCAGAAGTCATGTAAGTACACTGTATTTATAAACTTTTCATTGTAATCTTGAAGAGAGAGATAAAGGATTCAAGTACAGACATCATTCATTTAATGTAGACCTTCAATCATCAACATTCAAATTCTGTATGTAAAACTGCTTTCAATATTCTTTATTGATCTTTGTTATGGTAACAAGTTAATGAAATGTCTCAAAAAAAGACTAGTCATATTTTTAAATACTTAATTTCTTTGCTAGCTCTATAAGTATACCAGAAGAGGAGTGAACATTTTGTCTGTTACAGGTTTTAACAATCATGTTCTTTGATCAGTATAAGAGTTTATTATGCTAACAAGATTGTAACTCCCAAAGACCTAGGTAACACCATATTTATATTATTCAAATATCAGACAATATATATACTCTACACATTCAATAAATTGTTCTGAATATAAATAGGGTTCAAGCAAGACTGAGAATTATAACCCATCCAATGTGAACAATAATACTGAGCTAATGGCTTCATGCAGCAGCTTAATGCAGATAAAGTATACTTTTACTATGATGCAGTTTGAAGTGTTTAAAAATACTTACACTCATATTATCTTAACAGAATAATTTCAAGTAAGACTTCAGGTACTGTAACTTATTCAATATATATATAGGAGCTTCTTCAGCAAAGGCTACGCTACTATACACCCTTCTTTGTTGGATACATGCATAAGGTCAGTCACAAGTAAATTGTTCAATACATTTCCAGTCATATTGCAGTGTGGTACTTAAACCCTTTTCTACTTGGTGTTTTGAATTATTGAAATGGCAAAATAATGACATCAATTTGCAAAAATTGTGTAATCTATCCTATCAGACAAGCTACAAGTATGACTAAAATAAAATGTTGAGATTTTAGATTTGCTTTTGAATGTAAATTTTATTAACATTTAGATGAAGTAATTTAAAAAAAATTGAAATTGCTAGCCCTAAATTTCGATTTTTTTTCCTTCTGTTGTAATAATTATTAAAAAATTGGAAATTTAACAACTTTCACCTGCTCACATACAACTTGTCAGTGGACAAAAGTAATTTCCAAGATTTTGAAGCTGACAAACTCGTAAATATATTGTGTGAAACCTGGGATTATTTTCTCAAAATCTATTTACCACAGAGCTCCCTTCCTTCCTTGTGTATTTACATTAGATTGTAAAACATAAAATTTCGTACAATGTTTTGAGGACATATGAGGCCAAGTGGCACTCACAGTTTTCTATTGATTGTAAACCACAGAAAGATAATAACTTATTCAACTAATTTTTCTCCATGTTTCTTTATTTTACTGAAGTAATTGTCTTGACACTTAAATTTCTTTTTACAAGAACTCACAAGTTGATCAACACTATGATCATATTTTGCCCTTTTTTGAACACATGTACATAAATTAGTAAAAGGAGGACTAGATGTGTTTTATATGTAAAACAGAGTGCGATAAATACTATCTATTTATTGGTTTTAATACTTCAGATGATTTTTTTTGCACCACTTCTTTCAACAAAATGGCCTAGCTCATCATTAAGCTCATCAATAGTTACATGACTGATGTATAATGGCATACTAAATGTTAAATAGTAGTTTTTATATTTCAAATCATCTGTGTACCAAAAAAAATTTATATATATAATTTAAAACGTCCCATAATTATCATTCTATGTGTTTTAAGTGTCTATGTTTACAAATATGGTGACTTTTATGATTTATTGGTTTTTATTAATGCAAGATCAAAGGTGGCATTATATCCACCAACAAGCTGTAAAGGGTTAAAAGGCAATTCTGAGTCATTCAAATTACTTGTTTCTTAATTCCACTCTAAGATATACTTAATTTTATACAATACATAACTTGACATATCCTAAGCAATATTATTGTTGCATCTTCCAACAAAGTATATAAAGTAAATTATCTAACTTATAATTTCATTGCATTGAAACATTTGTAAAAATAAGACTGTCTCATACTAAATGCTTCATATTCAAGTTGTAATACAGAAAATAAACCTTCTATAACCCAATCAGCATATGTGTTTTCAAGAAGTTATCATACCTTTACAACTCCATACACAGCCTGAGCATAGAGAAGACTAACTTCAACTGGGTCTTGCGGTATCTCCCTAGAGGAGCGAAATAACCTTTTACGAAACAAAAACTGACATTCACCACTTCCAAGAGCTTCCTTTGGTCCCTTCCTTGACAAAGTTGTGTACTTTGTCAATGTAGCTGATGTTCTACGACATCTAAAAATAATATAAAAAAATAACTTTTTCTTTATGCATTTAAACACCTTAAAAAAAAGTAAAAAATTTTAATTCTACCTTTTATTATGGCTCCCCAGTGGCACAGCGGTATGTCTGCAGACTAACAATGCTAGAATCCGGGTTTTGATACCTGTGGTGGGCTGAGCACAGACAGCCCATTGTGAAGCTTTGTGCTTAATTACAAACAAACCTTTTATTATTTTCTTTCAATGTTTCCTGTAAAACTAGAAGCTCACTGAACATAATAAAAACAAACCATACCTAAAGGGTATAAAAATAATCTCAAAAAATCAGCAGACTCCATTAGCTTAGATTCGTCAAAATCAAAAATAGTAAGAACAGTATATTTAATTAGCTTTACTCATTACCAAGTTGATTTCTAGTTATGGTCTACATACACAGTTCACATTGATCAGAAATTAATATAAATGAGCCCTCTAAATATTGTTCACAGATTTTTTAACATGACTTAATACTCAGACTGTTATATTTACTCAAAATTCAAAGCTATGTCTTGATATCACACTGTATTTTCAAGTATTCACATGGTATGATTTAAAACTTGTAAAATATTTCAATAAAATGAATATTTACTTTTTATATCTGTTAACTATACCACACTTTATAAATCATTCTTGAAGTAGTTAACACAAATAATAAAATTAGGCTATAAAATACAGTATCAATATTTTAAATTAGAAAGTTAACATACTACTGAATAAAAATGATGTTTATAACCAGGGATGAAATTCTCAAAAAAGAAAAAAGTAAAGAAAAAAAAATGTAAACAACGACAAGGCAGCTCAAATAAATCCCGGTATTAATACCACCTTAAAAAACAAGTGAGCACCTGCAGAATTTCAATCCTGTTTATAACAATCTCTCTTAATTGATGTTTTCAGATAAATGTTCAATAAAATAAACTTCCACTGCTTAACTGCAAATTACTTTACCATTTATATTTCTGATGTTACTGATACTTTTTACAAGGTTTTAAAAAATAATGTACAGTTCTAAAGAATAGGAATTTACACAAGTTACTTTTTCTATTAATCAGATGGTAATGCCTAAGTCATTTTACCTGCTGTTGATCATTAAAAGAAAAAGTGCTGGTAGACATTATTTTAGTACTTATCTATTTGTTATGAAAAGTAAATTGATCTTATTTGTCTATCATTCAATATAAACACATTATCATAATTCATTCTGTAAACTCATTATCAATAAAGCTTCATTCATGAAATATTTTTATTGCTGTGATGTTTTTAACATTTTAAATGTAATATATGGGGAGCCGAGGTTCCAATTCACTTTCATATGTTTCAAGCGAAAAACTGAAGAGGTGTTTGCTTGAATATTTTTACAGTTTTTATAGTCTTTTCTTAAATGATAGACATCATTTGTTTTCAGCCACTATAACTAGATATTTGAAATATGTACAAAGTCTGTGCATTTGATACTAAGAAAACTAAAAACAATTTAATTGTTTCAGAATAACTTGAACTCTTTATAATGAACTTGTTAACAGTTATGTATTTATCAGATCACAATATAAACTTAAATCAAGTATCATATGTTATAATTTAAAGTTCCACACTGTGAGATGTAACAGTTTTCTCAAGTCAGATTGATTGAAAAAGCTGCTATGAACAAAATAATTCTGAATTATGTCTTAGGAATTTTCAGACAAAAATGAGAAACCCTAAAACATGAACACTTTAGATATGATGACCTTTCTTCATCAGAGGTAAACTGGGAATGTTCAAATATTTAACATGATGCAAATCCAACAGTTCTAGAAAACATAATGATAATAATAATTAAAACCAGGGTGAGCAGCCGAGTAGTTCATTCCAGAAAAACAAAAAGGCCATGTAATAAAGTATTACACATGTAAAATGGAACCATTGGTTTCAAAGTGACATATCCTTGAAATTAAAATATATGTATCTCACATGCACTTTATTTTTTGTAGTTTTCAATACATCTCTTCAGACAAAAAAATACCACAATCAGGAGTTGAGAATACTTCTATTATTGCAAATTCTGTGCAAACAGATTGTAACACTAGCATAGATTTTAAGCAGAGCTATGACTCAAAGTCTGTTAATAATTCATCTAAGCCATGTGCCTGAACAAACAGGATTCAGTCATTCTTTTCCTTGTACAGCTGTATATAATGGAATGTAACAAAATTAAACTGAAATGATGCTCGTATATGGATTTTGTAAGAAAACCAATTAAGCCTCCTGTAGATCTTAATAGTGTGGAAAAGTGCTTCATAAGTAATATAACAATGTAAGTGAAAAATGTTTACCATTTTTTAAAATTCAAAACTAACAATGTGTCATAACAACAGGTTACAAAAATATTACATTGTAGTCAAAAAAAAAGATGAGAAAACAAAATAAAAGATTACTAATGGTATAATTACTGGGACTATTATTCGCATCTTAAGAGAATATTAGTCTGAATAATTATACCATTAGTAATACTAACACCTCATCTCAATCATTCTGCAAAACTCAAAATAAAAAATTTTCTGTTGAAGCTAGACAAAGCAGAATAGATAAAGATGATAAGTTAAATGTGTCAGAAGAAACCTTATAAAATAAATGAACACTTGAAGTATAATTCTACATTAAAAAAACAGGATGAATTAAATAATAAAACAAAATAGAAGTAGATTCCATGAACTACTGTAGGTGGTGTGGCATGACAACATCCATTAAATTTAGTATGAGAGAAGTCCCATTACTGATAAAGAAACCTGAAGTAAGTTAACAGATGGGCAACATCATTTGAAGCATGAGGTGATGGTCAAAGATTAAGATTATAGAAACAATGAGAGGATAAACGGAAACATTTATTAAGATAACATCACAATCTGTTTCATAAATTAATAAGATAGGTAGTATTCTTCACATTTATACAGGAAAGATACTGACATCTATAAGGTAGTCAAAACTTAGCCTGATGAAACTAAATTTTAAAAGTAATTTTTAAAACTACAATTAAAAAAAAACTGAACGTACAACACCAGTTTCAGAAGCAAGAAACTGTTTCTTTTATTAAAGTTATATTTTTTATATCTTGTTCATAAAAGTTTCTCTTTCCAATAGTAGAATTTAAAAAATATCTGGCAAAAATAAAAAATCTTACATTTCCCACTGATAAATTATGTCAGCCAGGTATTCGTAGCCTTTTACAACCCTCTCACCTTCAGGAGTCACCTAGAAGAAAATATCAATTATACATCAATAATATAGGTAATAATGTATTCGAAAACATTGTACTCATTAAATCTTTTAATTTCTTACACTAGTAATAATTAATAAATAAACTAAAAAGTTCAAAACAATTATATTTCCTAAACAAAGAAAAAAAGAACAAAATCATTAGACTGTTTAATATTTGGACTTAGAATTTAGAGTACAAACCAGTTTCTCCAAAACATAAAAGTCTGTATTTATTGACAACCAACAGAATAAAAACTCAAAAACGATTATACATGACTACTAATGATTTCAGGCAATTATATATTAAATATGCAATATTGTTTGTAGATATAATTTTTCTAGACCTGTAATTTTTAGAATTAAACATAAAAATCATTCAAAAGACTTTCTGCATTGAAACAGGAGTAAACAACATACTTCTTCATTAAAGCTGATTAATGTGAATTTAAATATTATTGTATAATCTTTATGTTTATACATTTTGCAGTCTTGATATACTAAAAACTTTTTATTTCATTTACGAATGTTATAGCTTACTTCATATAAAGCCCATCCATCTAATGACCTCAGACCAATCTTAAAAGCTAATCTTTGCATAGCATCAGTAGCAGTATCTGAAGGGTGTAGGTCTATAGCTTTTGTCCTCCCATCCATAAAGTAAAACCGGCACACTAGGTGATCCATGTTTCTTACAGCCTGTAAAATCAATTAATAAAAATTTGTCAAAGTAACAGGCATCTTTCAGTTAGTATAATCAATATAACTCTGTGTTTTTGGTTTGCACTCTTGTACTAGAGAAAGGCCCAGTTACTGAAATATTCCATTAATGTTTAATATTTTATAAATTAAGCGTTTTGAAAGAAAAATATAGGCCCGAAGATGGCTATATAGTCCTATTTTTACATTGAACTTTCTTCCACACTCTGGGCACTATAAGTCACCATGAAGTGGAGACTTGTTATTGTAGTTTCCTCAAGGCTCTTTTTTCTTTAATTTCTTGATTTTGCAGTGATTCAAATGCAGCAGTAGGTATACAGGTAAATGACCACCATCATGCACTATACTGTGCTTTTTTTACTTACACCTTGCAGCAGGTATACCACACTTCTTATGATTGGTCTTACGTAATTTGGAAAATGCAATGGCACCTGCACGTGATTTTGAATATAGTGAGGGAGATTTGTGCAGAGTTCAAACTCGCTCTCTTAGCCTCTTTCATCTGTTTTTCCGTGGCAAGACAGCCAAGATGACTGGATGTGAATAATTATAAAATAATGAAGGCTTAAATCCTTGAAGTTGAAACAGAAGACAATATTACCCTATACCTGTCCTTTAACGACCTATGTATTATCAGGAGTAAGAGAAGCTAATAACAGGGCTGCACACTCGACTGAAAAATTTACAATTATTTTTATACAAGCTGCAATGAAAATAGTTCTGAACAAAAGAAAGTTTTCTGCGAGAATGAAACTGATAAGCATATCCTCACCCCCATTTTTGTCAGCAGATTTACACCACGCTCAGGAAAGACCCCTGATCATGATAACATTTCCACCTTAAGTCAGAAAATGTTCATCCATGTAAATAAAACAGAAGTACGTTTGACCGTTCAGGTTGAAAGGGCTATGGCATTATGATAGGTTGAGTTGAAAAAAAATCATATTTAAAGATAAAGTAAAAATAATTTAGTAAAAGTAATGAATAAAAGGTTACAATATGACTGAACATCAAGTCTTGACTCCTTTAGGGCAAAAGTGAATCTGCTCTATCTGAAGACAGAAAGAAATCTGTCTGAAAACTACCAAGACTATGTTCAAAAACTCTACAGCCAACTATCCAGAAAACTAAATAACAAGAACTAAGAAGTATTGCACTGTGTGATTGTCATGAAGTGGTCCTCCATACACAAGATCAAAAAGAATAAAACTTGAAAGCTCCTTGTCCAGCCTTGCTACAGAAAGTAACACTTCAGGCTCAATTTAACATATGATCTTAACTGGATTTAGCATCTATGAAATATATATACAAGAGGAAAGCAAGGTATACAGTATTTGCATATTATAATGTCTAAAAATACAAATTATTAAATTTTTTATACAGTTTGTATTTCCGTAAAAAAAATCTTTAATACATGAACAGACTTTATAAACAAGGTTGAGTTGTAGCACATTCTTTAAGCTATACTCACACAAATCTCCAAGGACGATGGTGGCATCTTTCGTACTGTAACCTTCGTACTGCGCAGGTTATCAATGCACCATTGAGCATATCTTGCTATGCTTGGGTCACCCGGAAGATTCTTTCTTAAAAAACAGTAGAAGTACTGGGAAAGAAACAATTAATAATTTTCATATTGAAAAAATTGAACTAGCTCGTTTAATTTCATACCAAAAACAAATCTTTCTAGAAAACAAAAAATCACAGAGGGCAATAAAAATAACTAGAAATTTAGATTATTTTCAAATGTGAATAAAAAAAGTCAACCAGATGTACTCATCTAATTGAAAATGGCATAAATGTTTCTTAATTTACTAACTATAGATAAGTTAAGCTCAAGAACTTATCTTTATAACAAGACAAACTTACTTAACTCAGTTTAATAAAAATTGTGCAAAATTTTCAGATATGGCAAAATGTTTTTATAGTGGTTTGATGTATATCTCTCACTAAAAATACATATTATTTTTACATGCATATTTAGATTATGTTGTAGGGTGATGCAAAAGTGAAAAACTTGCAAATTAATTCTGAGTTCTGCCCTTACTATGATTTTTTCAAGTTCTATTTGTATGATCACTTACTACCTATTTGTTTTGTTACAATAACTGGTTACAGTGTCATTAACATTGCAAGACTGTAAGTTATCTTCTTGCAACATTGTATTATGATATCAACAGTGCATTTTTCAAATAGCTATAAAGGCAGAACTTGAAAATATCATATGATGCACAACTTTTGCACCAGCCTATACATTGGAATCACTAACACCAACAAAATTTTGTAAAATTTGGTTTGAAAATTATTATTTCTAACTATTGAAATATTCTTCCTGAGAGAAAGCAGCATTATTACTTATATGGTTAATCTTTGTATCATTATCATCTATCTTAAAACTAGGTTCATGTACAGGGCAGGAAAAAAGTTACTACAGTTTGTATATTTGGCATTATATGGTTGATACTAAAGGAAATACTATGAAGACAATTGAACCAATTTAATTATTGTTGTTTCAGAGTAAGATGTTAAAAATTAAACTATGTTGTAGTTGAACCTGTATTATTACTTTTTCCTCATCCTGTACATTAACCACAATAATTCTGTTGAAATACCAAAGGTCTTATTAGATAAAAACATCACAGACTATCAACTTAGAAACGTTACTTTAGCAAATGTCTTGCTAGGGTAGAAGGCAACAACACAGAGACACACAAGAATCCAAGCTCGAAGAGTGGCTTCTCTACAAGGATTATTAGTTGACTGACGGACTAACTGGACAAGAATTTCATCCCTTAGTTCTTCACGGTCAATTCCATAACCAATTATGCTCTGTATAATCTGTACTTCTCCTTCTGGTTTCAGATCCCCTCGCAAATATTTACAAAGATCCTGAGAACAAACCACAATGATTAGAATTCTCAGAAGCACAAGGCAGAACATAAAATGAATTGGTATGGAGCTTCAAAATTTGAAACTTCTCAAGTTTGTATTTGTTATTATTATTTTGTTATAACGTAGATAATGAAATTTGGTTAAAATAACTAAAGAGAACTAAATTTTACTTATCAACAAGTAAAAGAGTAATGCATTGTGCTTTCATCAATTTGAGCATTATGAAAGACCTTGTCTTTCTGTAAATGTTAGAAATTATGTTAAGATATGACAAGCAATCATGAATTAGACTACTGGCATACATTTCATAATTCCATAACCATTCTTTGTACTATTATCTAACCCTAACATCTAGTATGCGAGAAACAATCTTATTCTGCACAAGTTACAAAATCATTCAGTCAGAGGCACGTGTTCTTCTAAATATGAATCACAGAGTTTCAAATTTTTGTAATTAAACAAAATATATAGGAAGTGTTATACAGATTTATTTAACTACCATAAAAAGGTTATAGTGATTGAAATGAACCAGTCTCTTTGGACTTGGCCTGACAGAATTTATGGTGTACGATGACCATGCAGCCCAGAAATGTCAAACTTAATAATTGTTCATCTAATTAATGAAATAATTATATTCAGCTTTTCCCAATTACTACATTGTGAATTAAAATAACAGTATTTAGTTTATCACTTTTTATCCATAAAAACTCTCACCTTGAATATTGAACAAGCAATAGAAATATTTTCTGGGTCATGTATCTGAACATGTGAGGTAGGGATGGTACTATTGCGAGTATAGGTCACCATTTCATACTTTGGCATTAAGTCTCCAGAAGACTTACGTCGCCAATTCAGAGTTCGCATCACTGTACCACCAACACCACGCTCATGAAAATTAAAATACTTTTCAGCAAATTCAATCATATCAAAATGGTATTGGTCAATTTCATCATCCCATCTTCCTTGTTCTTCTGCTTCTATTTCATTTAATCTTTTCTCAACACGTTGTTTTCTCCTGAAAGTAATATTACGAAGTTTTGGTATAGTTAATAGTAGTGTTTTATAACTCCTCCCCAAAGGACAAAAAATAAAAAAATGGTACTTTCATTAATATTTCCTTATTTCAATTTTATAACTAAACAAAAGCATTACCAACATGTACCATTAACCTAGTCTTATTGAGCTCATATAAATAAATTCATCATGCTGTTTAGTTGTTTCTTCTTGAAATAGAACCTTTCAACTGAGAATGAATAATAATAATTTAAGCACTCTCATTTGACAACAAAGATTACTGCCACTTGTACCTGATTTCTCTCCCTTGATCTTCCACATCTATGTCATTAAAAGAACGTTTGATACCAGTAGTTTTTTGCTGACCCCTCATGTCACACACTTGTAGCTCCTATAATAGTGAAAAGTGATGCCAATGTTCATTCATGCATATTTAATGTTAAAGAGAAAGCACTAAGTAAAAAAATATATCATTTTTGGGGAATGCATGTAAGAGGAGAATTTAAATTCCTGTTTTAAAGTTCCTAAAATTTTACTTACAATTTATAATAAAAAATGTTTTTCAACAAAACACCAGGTGATTGCTAATTTTCCGAGTGAAAAAGTATGACACAAAATCACGTACACAATAAAAAATGCACTTGCATGTACAGTATCAACTTTTATGAACATCTGACATGTTGAAAAATTAGAATAAGGTATTATATACACCTGGCAATATAATTCTGGCTTTCTTAAAAGACTAAATTAGCCTATACTAAATTTATATTCTACTGTTTTGGATACAAGTTTTATGACACAATTAGCAACATTACTGATTTATAAAATTTCTATAATGTGTGCTTCAGAAGAGCATCTTATTGTCAAAAAATAAGAAATCATAACACTGACTCAAGGTAGAAATACTTTACAAGGGAACTGTATATATCTCTAAAAGAAGACATGTAGCCAGAATTATTTTTTTAAATAATCTACAGATTCTAACAAAGGTAAATTTTAGAAGGTTTTCATTTAGTTTACTGGTTGATATCTGTGAAAACATTAATATATAATATTTTCTAAACATTACTATTGAAGGTAGCAATTAAATATCTTGAATAATAAAAAACAAAACTGCAGCTGCTTACGGTAACTGGCCTTGCTAAGCGCCAGTCATCCTGACTCCCTGTAGATAATGTTGGTGATGCAGGAGCGGACAACCCTGTACTCTTGCCATTAACCAGATCAGGTGAAAGAAGTTGTTGGTGGACTTCCCCATTCACTATACTTTCCCCAGCAGTGGGTGCTGGTGGAGGTAGTGGGGAAGGTGAAAGCTGTTCTCTGCTAGTAGATATATCAACAGGCAAAGCTTGTTCTGGAGATTGACTAGTGGAAACATCTGGACTGGGAGGTGGAAGAGGACTAGGACTAGGAGATGTTCTAGGAGAAGGAGCATTTTCCTGTTGCACTTTAGTTGAATGCTGGAAAATACACAATTCTATAAAATTAGAACAATGTATATAGGGTATTTTTTGCATATCTCAACTTTGGATAACCAAACAAAATTGTATATATACTCTTTTCATACAGAATGAGCATAAAATATACAAATGCATTAGATAATTCCCTTTTAGACCAAATAAAATCTCACATTGTTGCAAGTAGCATTGGTCAAAATGAGAGTTTCTAGTTGTCACCATATATCAAGATTACAAGCAAACATTGTATAAGATATTCTCAGATACAGTCATAAAAAATGTCTATTTTTAATTGTTATTGTTTTATATTATTTTGTTTTAAATCATATAATAAAATTTCTGGGCAGATGACAAAAGAATATATGGGAAAAGTATCTGACATATAATGCACAGAGCTTTACAGCAAAAATACCTATTTTTACCAAAAACCTGTAAAAATCACTAGATGGAAATAGTAGTAATAATCATGTTTTTCTTCCTTGTAAAACATAACATTTTCGAAATTTGATGCTTACAGCCTAGAAGTAGACACATAAGTGAAATAACGATAAAGTACCTCATTTAGATCTTTCAATAAGGCATCCATTTGTTCACCTATTTCTGCTACAATATCTTCCATATTAGCACGGCTTTCCTGAACCTCACTAAGGAATGAAAACATTTCATCGAGGTCCATACATTCTGATGCCTCTTGAGCACGTCGAACATTTTTTTCTACCAAACTAGCAATAGCTGCAAGTTCTTCCTGTGTGACTCTATAGGAGCACAAAAATATTAAACACATGTTAAAACTTTTGCAAGTTATGTTACAGTTTTTGCTATCCAATAAATTAAATTTATAATACTTATGTCAACTATTAGGTTAAATAGTAGAAACTTACTAAAATTAATAAAACTGATAATCTAAAAAAATTAAATGTATGTACACTGACTATATTCCAGAAACTTTTCCAGACCTGGGAGTTAAATGCAGTTGCATAGATAGAAAGAAATTTAGAGGTTAAAGCAAACAGTTATAAATCCACCTGCTGAAAGTAGAATTATAGGTGTAAAAGTAATAAAAAAGCAAGTTTCAATTTTCAATAATTTCTTAATTGTACCTTATTTTTTACTAATGATTTTAATTCAAAAATACCACACTTTAAGACTAATCTTAATTGCATTGTTAAACTCACTAACATTCACCTATTTTTTCTTTATTTCTTATACTAGCACCACTTTACATTTATTCAATATTAAAGGAAAATTGCTGCAACCTATAACGAGACAACATTCTGTGTAATTAAAAAATAAGGTTATTTAATTTTATCTTTATTTTTTATTTCAAAATATTTTATTTAGAAACTTCACCTGTAAATTTGGCATGATTCCCTTTTTAAGAGACCTGTAATATTTCTAGCTTTGTTTTGCATGAATAATATACATTAATGGCAATAGAATATGGCTTCAATTTTCTCTAAAGTTCATGTTTTATGAACAATGTTTGATATCAGGAACTTACAACAAATAAATGATTGCATTAATAGGTCAACTATCCACTACTAAGAGAATCATATATTACTTGTCCATGATAGATGGTATACAATACAATTACAAAAATAGCAAATGCAACTGACACTGATTTTCAACAATATGTTATAATCAAGATCTTTACAAATGAGGGGCACTCGGGGTGTTTTACCCATCAAACAATGCTATCATCAGAATCCTGGCACAGAAGATGTTCTATTGGAACATAGTCATGCCACATCCTATATTGCTCATTATGTAATGACTGTAGTTGAGACACAAATTAACACTCCATTGGAGCACATCAGTTAGATGAAATATGGTATGAATATGGCTTATAAGAAATAAAATTGCTTTTTTTTTATTTGACTCTCCATACTCTATTGAATTACGGTACTCATTTTCTCACCATGAAGCCACAACAGCAAACACTGAGAAAACTATTGTAAAAGAAGTTGTATATTCTGAAGGATAGTCATGTATAATTCATTACTTGTTAGGGTAACCGTCCACACCCTATTTTATCTATGGTTAATTTAAAGATATGGTAAATTTAATACGTATCTAAGCAGCTTAATATATGTTAAAAATATTGGAAGTAATTTGATATAAACAACAACAACAAATTATAATTACGTTAAGCAAGAAATACCTATTCAACTTACACTCGTTCCTTTACACTTTGCAAGCTATTACAAAAAACAAAACAAAAAACATTTAGACAAGAAGAAATGAGCACTACATGTAAAACTATATGTGGAATAAAATTACAGCCCGAAAGAGGTCCATTAATAAACACTAAATAAAAAAATATAGTATTAAAAAGACAGTAAACTAATCCAAACAGAAATGAAATATAAACACCATAGAAAGAATAAGAAAATATTTAGTAATAAAAGGGAAATATATGCTAAGTTTTGTAGCTATTGGTCAACATCTTTCATAGCATCTGAGAAATAGAAAAAGTATGGAATTTCTTGACCACAGATAGTTACCACCTTGTCCTTCTATCCACTATTCAGAAACCCTACTTACTTCACAACCAGTAAGTTATCAGATTCTTGACAAAATTTCTTATGTAGCAGTTTCACAACCAATAAACTGTCAAATTATTTACAAAATTTCTAACTTAGCAGTTCCACAACCAATAAACTGTCAAATTATCAACAGAAATTTCTAACTTAGCAGTTCCACAACCAATAAACTGTCAAATTCTTTACAAAATTTCTAACTTAGCAGTTCCACAAATAATAAACTGTTAAATTCTTTACAAAATTTCTAACGTAGCAGTTACACAACTAATAAACTAAGATTCTTGAGAAAATTTTCTTGATCAATTATTCCTTTTCTGATTATAGAGCCTTTTACCTGACACGGGTAAGTATATAAAAATCAGAATTAAACACAAACTAGTTGATATTAATCATGAGAGACCCAAAGTTGTCAGTATTAATTTTAACAGTGATGGTTTGAAATGTTTAAATTATTT